TTCGAGTTTATGTTGAAGGATGAATTCCAAAAGTTGATCTTCATTAAAAGTCGGGTTGAATATGTTTTAACTAATGAATCATAAATTAAAGCTTGTGCTTCATTTATGAGCTGCTGAACGTCCAAACTTTTCTCTTTTGGCTTTTGCGGCTCAGGATTATATAATTTATATAATTCATCAATATCTTTTTCAGTTAATACTTTATTTTTGAAATCTTTCAACTGTTTAAGTTGTGATTTACTTTTTCCCTTTGAATATTTTCCTTCTTTAATGTTCTCTCTTAAACGTTTAATTATTTTATCATGATATTTCAAAATTTCGTTTTTATAATACCGATAGTATTCATCCATATCATCACCCGTTATATTTTCATCATGTTTTTGGAGATATGCTTTTAAATCATAATAACTAAGAAAATTTTGATTAAATACTAAATCATCAATTAAATTTTTAAATCTGCGCTATTCATTTATATAAAAATAAAATCAATGTTTTTATGGGTGCCCACCTCTTTGTCTCTTCTGTGGCATTTCATTAAATAAATGGCATACAACATCCATTTTCACAACATACAGCTTTAGTGTGTGCCCCTGTTAATGCAGTCTTACCGATTGTTAAGCGAGTCATTGACCCATTTTTAAGTTGTAAATTAATATTTTGACCATCGAAAATGACTTTATCATTTATTATATCTAAATAATTTTTAGGTGTTAATTGTTTATTTTGTCGTAAACTTACACCTTTCATTTTTTGTGCTATCTTTTTGAAGGAGTCTTCACCAATCATTCCGTTGAATGATGTATAACACTTAGGGCATAAAGCAACCATGTTATCACCTTGTTTTCTCAATTGCTAAACCCAATAATTTTTTCTCATGTGCTTTTTCTTCAGCTTTATTCTTTAATTTAGGTTTAAATTTCTCATCAAAACAGAAGAAATCAAAAGGTGCGAATTTTGAAAAATGTTTTATCATAAAATTGTTTATCGGTTACAATTGCTTGAAATGCTTGAGTGTTAGGAAGATTTGGGGTCGCCAGCGATTGCCCAATATGATGAATCAGTATCACCTTCAATGAAATGAAAACGATTAACATTCATGCATTTATACATTAAAATCATAAATGAAAACTAAATACCAGTATTTAGCATTATCTAAAGTAAAAAATGCCTCTTGTAAACATGTATCACATCTATAAAATCTATCTTTGAGCATCACTTGATATGTAATCCTCACCTATTTCTCTTATGTTTTTAAAACTTATTTGACATACATGCAACGCGTGCCTTCTGTGCATTCATTATTTTAGTCTTTGCGTAATTTTGTGTATTCATTGCATCGTAACCATATGATCCATTAAGTGAAATCTTGCAAAATAAACTTTTTTCCTTTATTTCCTTCTAATTCAGCCTTTTGTCTTTCGTTCATAAATTTGTTCGCAAATTCATTAAAACAAGTGTTTTTAGTAAATGTTAAAATTGATTGAATATCATCAATGATAAAATGAAATCTGTCTATTAGATACCAAAGATAATAAGAAGAAAATGGTTGATATTGGTTGTGTGTTGATGCTAACTGAGTTAATTTTCTCTGTTTCTGGTCAACTGGTAGATTGTTTGATTTCATGTAATTATTACATAAAACTGCCAATTGTTTTTTCATCTGTGATAATATCTAAGTTTCTTATTATCGGTAAAAAGTTTATGTAATCATTAATGTATTTTTCATCAATGTGACCCTTTACTTCAGCCACGAATAAAGTATTTTTCTTCTTAATTATTCCAGTGCTTTTGCTTTCTTTTGTTGCTGTATCAAAATGATAACACCATTCAATCTTCCCGCATATACATTTTATGGTCAGTATATTGAATGAAATCATGGGGATTAGATGAAAATGATGAAGGATATAATGAATTAAAGTCAACTCCAACGAAATGAGTCATAATGTTGGAAGTGTCCTCATTTGATACAGTTTTAGTTTCTGGATTATATGCAAGTTTATTAATGTGCGTGATTCCTTTAAGATTTACTCTATGTTGAACATTTGATAAACCACCAGTAATTCCATTACGGAGAATGTGATAAGCTTCAACTGAATCTAAAGTCATTGGTAAATTATTTTTCAATGCGTAATTTCTTAAATTAATTCTTAAACGTTGAACATCTTCATCTTTGTTTGATTTTACGACATTACAATAACAACACATTAACTGACAATTTTCTTTGGTATGTGATTTTTTATTATCGATTCTATCTAATGTTGGTTTATTTGCATATGTAAACGCTTTACCACACATTTTGCATTTAGATGAAAGGATTAAATCGTGATAGTATTGAAAATCATCCATTGAAACATTATTTTTAGTATCCCTTTCTGCTTTTTCATCTTGTTTCTTATATGATTCAATTTTATATTTCCAATACTTTTTCGTTAATTCAAAACTTGATTCTATCTCTTCTTCTGGATATGTTTCGTTAGGATTGAAGTTCTTATATGCTAACGCGTAACGAATCATTGAAGCATTCGATGATAAAGAAAGATTATGAAGCGTGTCAATTTTATAAACAAATGTTTCTTCAATAATTTTATCGATTGGGTCAATCATAATTTCAACATCTTTATTGCAATAATGAATAAAATATTCTAATCTATTCTTAAAGTTTTTAGCATCATTGAGATATATTTGATAATCACTATCTGATATAGTTTCTTGGGTTAATGCTGAATAAAATGAATCTTTCGTGAATGGTTCCTCTTTATATAATTCTTCTTCGTAATTTTCCCACGTGATGAATTGATAAGGGAAAAAGGATTTAACACGTGATTTATTGTTTCCGAAATCTTGAGTGAATTGGTCTAATGTCCCACCCGCTATATAATTTCTGATGTCAATAAATCTCAATTCATATGGAACGTTTGTTTTCTTTACAATGATTTGCTTAAATAAAAAAAAAAAAAAAAAAAAGGTATTGGGGCTTCCAGGCACTTCGTGCCTTCTAGCCCTGATGATGTTTTAGTATAAATGAAGTTCTTATATACGGGTCTTCCAGGAGCTTTTCACAAAATATATATGTTTTCATGTTTCGTCACTTTTCTGTCACTTTTCAGGAAAAAACATTTTTATTATATATATAAAATGAATTTTACAAAACCACCGTTACCGTTCTTTGGAAATAAGAGTAAATGTAAAGATATTCTATTGAGAGAACTTAAGAAACTACCGAATGGTCTAACATTTGTAGATTTGTTCGGTGGAAGTTTCTATATATCCCATCTGTGCCATACAATATTTCCTGACTCAAAGATTATATGCAATGACTTCGACAACTATATGAACCGTCTCAAACATATACCAGACACTAACAAAATATTGAAAGAGTTGAAAGAAAAGATACCTATAGGTAAGATGGAACGTATACCATTAGATAAGAAAAATATTGTCAGAGAGGTTTTGAAAAAAGCAGAGTATATTGACTGGGATAGTATATCTGCTAGACTATTATATAGTGGTGCTATAAGAGTTCATGACATTGAAACACTTATGTCAAAAGTTTTATATCTTAACTATACAAATGTTTTCAAAGAGGACATAGAAAAATATATTGAGGGTATAGAGTTTGTGAGATGTCATTGGACAGAGTTGTATGAAAAATATAAAGACAAGGAAAATGTTTTCTTTATAGTGGACCCGCCGTTCTATAACACATGGGATTTTCAATACCAAGTAGACTGGACTTTGAGAGACTCTTTAGAAACTTTAGACGTTTTACATAACCATCCATGCTTTTACTTTACATCCGATAAAAGTGGTTTGGAAACCGTTATGAGATGGTTAGAGGACATACATGACTATGAGTTTAGATATGACAAGATAGAATATGAGAGAGGTCCTATAAACCGGAGAAAGTGTCATAACAAAGAAATTTTATTGGTAGGTAAATGTGGTTTGAAATAGGACTACTTGTTTTAGGTTTTTTCCATTGTGTCATCTATTTCTTTGACGTGGCAGAAAGATATAGAGAATATGAAGATGAACCAATGCCTGCAAATGTCCAGTATATGTACTCGTAAGAGATATTTTTATCTAATATTAAATGGACGCACAGAACTTAGCGAATGCACAGCAACCTGGACAACCAAACCCAGAGAATATTCCAAATGAAGTTAGAATACAAACTGCAATGGCAAACTATGGTCAAGTGCCAACAGATGTACAAATGCAAACTGCCATGTCAAATGACGCTGCGTTAGGTTTGCCACCATGGTATGCAAATATGAGATGGAAAGAGTTTTATACAAACCCTGAAGTCGGATATAAACAACTTTATGCAGATGACGCGAACACAGGAGTTGACCCAGAATATGTTTTCTACCAGAGGAGAAACAGAATGTATGAGCTCCAGTTAAAAAATGCTATGGAACTCAACAGGAAACGTAAGAGACTAGGCGGACATTAGATTTTTACATATAGTAAAATGGGTTTCTTTGGAAGAATAGGAAACTTCTTTCGAAATGTTGGAAGAGGTATATGGAATGGAATAAAATCTGTCGGAAGAGGAATTTGGAACGGAGTCAAAAATATTGGTAAAAGAGTAGGTCAGTTCGTTGGTATTATACCTAAAGACCCTGAACCAGAAGAACAAGCTCCTGTTATACAACAGCCTGAACCTGCACCACAGTCTAGTTGGCAACCAAATCCAACACCTCAACCGTATTAAAAAATTATATTTTTACCGTTCGATAGTAGTTGTATATGAAACTAAGTTCTAAGTAAAACGCATGGTATAATGGAACTATTCTCTTTCTTCCATCTGTAGTAAACCATACTTGAAAGTCTGAAATACTTCCACTTGGTGGTTCATATAGCTTTGTAGGTTTTTCGTAAAAGTCATTTGCCAAGCATAAAAAAGAGTTTTGTGCACCAGAAAATGAAGCATGAACTATAATAGCATCTGAGTCGAAAACATTTTCATATGTTCCATTAGGGTTTTCGACTTCATAATAGTCCGGGTGTACTGGATATTCTGCAGGCTGATTTAACATCCTCAAAAATCTATACCATGCCAAGTTGTTATATTTTGTAGAAATATAAACGTTTTCTCCAAGGTCTTCTATTCTATTGATTTTAACAGTTGCATTTTTCCTGTCATATATAATATCGAGATGGTACTCTCCTTCGTCAATGTTATACTGGTTTGCATATTCGAGATAGATATCGTTTATTTTTTCTTGAAAAGCTTGAAGAGTTGTTTCTAAGTTTACAAGCAAACTAACTTGTAAAAGTTTTCCCTGTTCAAATTTCTCATACGTACGTTTTTCTTTGTTATAGTATCGAACTTCAAAACCGACTGTAAATGGGAAACCATGTATGGCTTCTGAAATGAACTTCATTCTACGAAAGCCAATAGCTTTTGTGACGGATGGGTCTCTTAACCATCTTAACGGGTAGTCAAAACGATAGCCTTCATGCTTTACGGTCTCTGTCTCAAACTTTTGACCGACATTCGTAAAAAGTTCATCTAATGGTTTAGTTGTAGCAACTCTAGAAGTTTCTTTTTCTATTGGAAGCATATTTTATCTATAATAAAAATGTCGAATGAAACAGCGTCTATGAGAGAAATACAACACAACCGACAACTCATTTTGCAAGCTCTAAATAAGAACACAACAAACTTTTCAAACTATTCTAAGATATCTGAGTCATTGAAAGAAGGAAACTTAAAACTGACATTAAACCCAATGACAGATGAGTTTCTGTTTCAAGACAAGAAGAACCATACTGTTTGTATAAATCCAACAAAAGGAACTTTAAACGAGAAACCTATAAAAGAACTTCTTTTGAAAGCAGATGTTGACAACAAAGCTGACAAAGAATATGTAGACGATGCAATAGCAAAAGAAGAAGAAAGAGCTAACAATGCTTATGCAACAAAAGAACATACTCATCCTGAACTAGCAGACAAAACATATGTTGACAATAAAATGTCAAGTGAAGTGACAAGAGCTGAAAACGAATATTCTAAAAAGACTCATACACATACCATTGCAAATATTACAAACTTACAAGAAACCTTAGAGACAAAAGCAAATAAGACTCATACACATACCATTGCAAATATTACAAACTTACAAGAAACCTTAAACAGGAAAAGTGACGTTGGACATACACATACCATTGCAAATATTACAAACTTACAAGAAACCTTAAACAGGAAAAGTGACGTTGGACATACACATACAAGTTTTACAACTGTTGGTATAGAAAGTATTGAAGGAACGGTTGAAGAACCTGATGGGGATGTATTATATTGGAAACCTCCTAACTTTCCACAAGGTTTAACATCGGATGACGACATAACGACGATGAGAAACATTAGATGTAAAGATGTTTATGTCATGAAGGATGAACATAATATTAAATTCACTGCTCAAGATTTATATGAGAAGAAAGCAGACAAAACAGAGCTTCAAACATTAAAGACAGAAATACTTCAAACATTATATTATAGGCTCTATTTATACGTCAATGAACTCTACCAGACCAGAAGTAGTACTTGGTTTTGGAACTTGGACTCAAATAGTCGACAGGTTTTTGTATTGTGCAAACTCTTCAAAGGAAACAGGTGGAAGTAAAACGATTTCAGGTGAAAATTTACCTGCGCACAGTCACTACGTAGATTTAAGTACATCTCAAGCAGGTTGGCATAAGCATAGATATTGGGATTGGTCAGCAATGACAAAAGGTAAAGGATATGATGTTAAAGACAACGTTAAGTTTGCTATAGATTGTTACTGGAGTAACACTGAGGGAGGAGGAATACACATCGCGTTTCAGGGTATACGCAAACAACGGGACAAAGTAAAGACTACATGCCACCTTACATGACAGTTTACGCATGGTATAGAAATGCTTAGTCGTCATTTTCAACTTCTTTAGCATATTCGTCAGGAGTTGTCTTATATTTGTTAGGAACTGTCTTTGAAAGTATACCACCTTGAACTTTGACAAGTTTGAAACGAGGTCTGACAATAGTCGTTTTATCTTCTGCTTGCAGTCTGTACATTTTGCCATGTTTGCCTAAAACTTCATAATATTCTCTTGTATACTTTCTTCTATTTTTACGAACACGAATGTGAGTACCTGTCGGGTACTTGTTGTTGTCATAGTCAATAGTATTTTCATATGGGTCGCGTTTAGGTATTTCTATTTTTACTTTGTCTCCTTTCTGAAGTTTGAAGCCCGGCATTCTTTCTTGTTTGTCTCTTTTGACTAAATTATTAAATATATAGTCTTTCTCTAAGTCGGGGTTGTTTTTCATTTCTTCGGGGGAGTGGTTTCCCAAACCTTTTTGTTTACGGCTATTGTAAATATTTAAAACTTGTCTCATCTTTGCCATGGAGAAGTGTCTATATTTGTCGTCATATGACATTTCATCTACCTCACCACCTTGTGGTTGGTTTAAGTCTCTTAACATTTTTATACAACCGTCAATGACACCAAGAGCAGAATGGTTTTGGTCGACAATGAAATATTGGTTTACATTTTTTGAACGCAGATAGTTTTTAATATCGTCTGATTTGAAAGAACTTTCATAGTCAGATGTCAGTTTTGTTGGATGGTATTTGTCAACGAATATTGTCAAAGCAGTTTTCACATCTAAAATATTTTTGGACTGTAATGGTATGGCTTCACAGTATCTTGTGTTTTGACCAACAAATATTAGCCAGTATGGAGGTCCATCTTCTCTATACCTCGGAATGTTTTCCAAGATATCCATAAACCAAGCATTTGGTGTTGAACTAAAGATTTTTACCATGAGTGCTTTCTTTGTTGCCTTAGAAACATAGGGGTCCTTGTTTGGATTCGTCATTTTTATCCTATAAGAAATGGGTTTATTTGGCGCATTAGCAGGAGTTGCATCTAGATTTTTACCCGCAGTGGGAACAATAGCCAGAGGTGTATTTGGAGTTGGAAGGAAGATTTTGAGTACATTAGGTATACTGAAAGAGAAAGCACAACCTATTATACAAACTGTACAGAAAGGTTGGGATGTAGCACGAGATGCAGCAAATCTTATTCCAAATCCTGAAACAAGAGGAAAAGTTCAAGGATGGATGGACAATGTAGGAAGACAAGCAGGAAACTACTATAACAAAGCAAATGACTACTATAACCAAGCAGGACACTATATGGACCAAGGTGAAAGATTCTTTAACAGAGGATATAACCATGCACAACAGTGGGTAAACAACAACCAACCTCAACCGCCTCAAACGTGGGGAATGTAAAATTTTTTACTGAGATGAAATGAACAATACAGCATTGAGACAAATGGGTTCAAGATGGCTTTGTCGGCTTCCAGCAGTTACACCACCACGTGTTTGTCAAGTTCTTCCTATACCTCAGGAAGTTTTAGACCGACTTAAAAAACAACAACAACCAGTTGAAAACAAACCAAACTAAAATTTTTTACTGAGATGAAAATGACCGAAGAAGTTGAAACGGTAGATTTGACACCACAAACAAAAAGTTCAGAAACATTGTCAAAACCTGTCAAAGAACTTACAGATGAAGAGAAAAATTCAATAATAGAAAGTGCCAGGTCTGGAAATACAAACCCTAACTACAAAGTCACTTTTCATAGAAATGGAACGGCTAGTATCTCAAAAAAGAAACAGACTCTCACAAATAAAATATTGAAGTCTGAAGGAGCTTTCGAGACAACAGATGGAAAAGTTTACTTCACTGACCAACAGTTCATTATAGAACATCTCATTGACTTAGAGTCGAAATATTCTAAACTTTACAACAAACACAAAAAGTTGAAAGGAAAACAAAAACAAATGGCATATGATATTTATGAAGATGTTGACGACACAACCATACCTGCAAGTGAAGTAAAGTCAGAGGAACCGAAAAGTGACGAAAAGCCGATAGAAGAAGAAAAACCAAAAACCGAAGATAAACCAAAACCAAAGTTTAGTTTCCAAACTAAACCAAGTCAACCTTCATTAGCTGGTATGGGTTGGCGTCAAAGACTTATGGCAGCAGGCGGTTATGTTAAGTAAAGGAAAAAAACATTTTTTTATTTTTTATAAAAATGCCCCTATATAGAATGGACAGAAGGTCTGCTAGAATAAAAGCAGAGTTAGAAAGATATGGTTGGAGAGTTTCAAAGAATTTTAAATATAGGAAGGGAAGACCAATAAAAGTCTATGACAAACTTGCTGGTCTTCGCTACGAAATGGACTTAAAAACAGCACGTGCCAATTATCCAAACAGACTAGAGAGGTTAGAAGAAGAACGTCTTATGGACATGCCTTTCGATGTTAGTGAGCCTCAAGTTGAAGGACACGACGGCTTTGCCAGATTCTATTGGAAACATGACGAACAATTGCATCCTTTGAGAAGAAAAAAAGGTAGAGGTGAAGACGCACATGCTCCCATGGAAAGAACAAGATATGCATATGAGAAGTACCGTGAAGTTCGTAGTAAAATTACATCTGGTCGAACCTTTACAGTAAACTTTGACGAAGGAAAGAACAAAGAAGGCTTCATGGGTGTACTTGCTGCCATACAAGACGGAAATAAGAAAGGACACAATCTCAGATTGACCATAACAGATTTGGATGGTCACATTTACTATGCACATGGCAATGTCACAACAGCCGCACAACTTCTTGACGCTTTCAAGACTACAAAGAGAGAACAAATGGTTGACTCCGACTCAGACATTTTGAATGCAATTGAAGGAATTGCAAGTGTCAAGTTCGAATGGTACCAACCTAACCCTCAAGCAGTCAGACAACATGCTTGTTAGATGAGAAATATGAAGTAAAAACGTTTTTAAAACCATATATTTTTACATATATTAAATGCTTCAGGTTGAAAAACAAAGAACAAAAGTAGCAGATACAAAACCGTTAGACTATATCTTCACAAATGCCGGTAGGACTATATCAGATGAAGAAATTTCATCCCGTTCTTACAGGTTTGACTATCCAGTTCGTTGGCTTCAAAGTCCTTCAGATGCAAAGGCAATAGGATTTAGAAGAGTTTTGTTTTCAAATAGAACTAACGCGTTTATGTTTGCAGTATATTTTCATGGTCAGTATAAAGGTTCTGATGGTCTAATAGAAAAATTTGACGAAATGAAAATCTTTACAATTCGTTCAGACGAAAGTCTTGAAAAAACTCTAAATGACTTTCAAACTCAAATAAACAAATACTATTGGGAATTTCAAGAAAAATACGACTCTTTACTAAATGGAACATACTATCTGAAACTAGAATATGACAAGATGAACTCCACAGTTTCATTTCAAAAGATTGAAATTAACCCTCCAAGAGATACAGAGTTTTTATATTGGGGAGTAGACAAGCGTTCTTGGGCACAATTTCTTCGGTTACTAAACCAGAACGAACCATTACCACCAGATGGTCCATTTAAATTTATACTTCCACCAGCAGATTTGACAGTTTATAGAAACGTGTTTGACCCTCAAAATGTCATGTGTCATGCAAGTTTCAGTTCAAGCAACAACAGTTTTCTTTGTATCGGTAAGGACTTTTATGACTTTGCTTCTAAATTCTACGAACCACCTAGTAACAGTTTCTCTGACTTTCAAGTTTGGTTCACAACAAACGGTGTGCAGCATATAATACCATTGTACTATGACTTTTATCTCGAATTGTCTTTCATATACAACTACGGAAAAGTGCTGAAAAAGTATTGAAAAATATATTTTAGGTGAAGTGGTGAGATCTCAAAACAAGCATTTTGTGAAGAATATACCAACCCGCGGAATTCCGCGGGTTGCTTTTTATATAAAATTCAACAGGTGAATTTTCATGAATTTCCTTAAGACAGAAAAAATATATTTTAGGGTAGATGTTTTTTTAGGTGTCACCAGGTCACCAGGTCACCAGGTCAAATGAACTTCTCTTAAAATTACTGACAACACGACATTTTGACAACAACACAGGAAAATGTCAAGACTTCTTCGTAAATGTTTTGAAGAACTGAAGTGTGCCTATGTGCCTATGTGCCTCGGTCAAATGAACTTCTCTTAAAATTACTGACAACACGACATTTTGACAACATCGTAGAAAACACACAAAACTCTTGAATTTTTGTATAAAAAAAGCAACCCGCGGAATTCCGGCGGTTGGTATATTCTTCACAAAATGCTTGTTTTGAGGTCGAGCCACAAACGGATGTCCGACGGTTAAGCCACAAACGGATGTCCGACGGTTAAGCCACTCAAAAATATATTTTATTTTTATTGTAAGAACAGAATGACAGTCGAAGCAAAAACGTTCACGAACAAATCTAATGGCGAAACATTCACAAAAGGCACTTACAACGGTATTGAAGTCTTACGTAGAGACAAGGATGGTTATATAAATGCAACAAAGATATGTCAGCAGTTTGGGAAAGACTTTAGAAGGTTGTTGGAAAATAAGTCCTGGGAAGAGTATTATACGGCATTTTGTGAAGAATATACCAACCCGCGGAATTCCGCGGGTTGCTTTTTATATAAAATTCATGCAGGAATTCCGGATGAAATCAAACAGGTTAGAGGAATGTATGTAGACCCAAGACTCGTAAACTATATAGCAATGTGGGCTTCTCCAAAATATTGTATAGCAGTTGGAAAAATTCTGGACTTCATAGACAAGAAAGTTCATGAGAAATTAGATGAAGAAGAACTTGAAGATACAGTAGAGAATGCAAAACCTTTGTTTGAAGAAGAAGTTAGAAAAATGCATGAAAAACAAATAGAACATGAACGTGAGATATGTTCTGGTTATAGAGACTCTCCATACGAACTAGACCAATGGGAACAAGAAGATTTAAAGAGAGAATTTAGAGAATATGAACTCGCTAAAATTTCATTAGAAGCTGCAGAAGAGAGGTTAAAAGTTTGGGGTCGTTTTGTACAAAAATATTGTGAGTAAATGAACCATTTTTTTCGGCAAAAATATATTTTAGGTGAAGAGGTGAGATCTCACCCGTTTTCTCACCTGTTTTTTCACCCTCATTTCTACCATCGTAGAAAACACACAAAACTCTTGAATTTGTTGCTGAACTCGGCAAAAATATATTTTAGGTGAAGAGGTGAGATCTCAGAACTAGTCTTGTACTGTTTTTTCACCCGTTGAATTTTGTATAAAAAAAGCAACCGCCGGAATTCCGCGGGTTGGTATATTCTTCACAAAATGCTTGTTTTGAGGTCGAGCCATTTTTGGCTCCATCGTAGAAAACACACAAAACTCTTGAATTTGTTGCTGAACTCGGCAAAAATATATTTTAGGTGAAGAGGTGAGATCTCACCCGTTTTCTCACCTGTTTTTTCACCCGTTGAATTTTCATGAATTTTCCCGAAATAAAAAATAAAGTTAGTTTTTTAAAAAAAATATTTTTTATTTTTATTGTAAGAACATGTTAGCAACAACAGCACCAAACTCTTTAGTCATGAACCCAACTTCAATGTTAGTAGAGATGAAAAGCTTCATTCCTTCTTCATATACTTTCGAAACAACAATCCAGAAGATAAAGCAAGAACTTCTCCAAGGAGATTTAGACTGTAGTGCAAAAGATGAAACAAATGAAGAATATCTTTATGAAATGCAGGATATTATTGACCATCTACCTAAACTTCCTGAAATCCAACAACAAAAGCTCACTATTCCAGAATTCGATGAAATAGAAGTCAAAGCAACTGACTCAGTAGAAATAAAGAAGTTCATACGTAAGGTAAATTATGAATTCCTTGGATTTCATTGCAACCACAAAGTCATGGACAAAGACTGCGACATGTTATATAAGAACATCTCTGACATATATAAATCTGGGGAGTTTAAGACCTACGACAACTTTGTTTCGTTAGTTGCTGAATGTGTATGGCAGATAAGAGATAAAGATAGAAGAGGTAAAGTATGGAACGAACAAATAAAACCCGCAACTTTTGAGTTAAAGAAAACCATTGACGCCTTAGTCATACTTGCAGGTAAGGTTTCAGAATATAACGCAAAAATGAACCCACAATGTTCTAAATGTAAAGCAGCAATGAGGAAATATAACTACTCCGTCAAAGAGATAGAAAGAATGAGAAACGACTATGCTGACTTAAAGAAAGAAGCAGAGAAACCAGCAGAAAATAAAATGGACATGTTAGAATTTCTGAACAAAAACTATCCAACTGCTGACGATTTCCTTCTTTCAGATGTCAAGAAGAAATATAAAGAAACCTTCGGCATTGTTAAAACATTCGATGTACTGACAGAGGAAATCGAAGCCACAAAATTGTTTAGAATTTCAAATATACATCGTACAATTCATGTAAAACGCTTATAAAAAAAAGAGGTGAGAAAACAGGTGAGATCTCACCTCTTCACCTAAAATATATTTTTATTGAATTCAGCAACAAATTTCTGAGTAAAATGGCATATAGCTTGTGTCAAACCGTTGAGTTTTCACAAAATTTAAAAAATAGCGTTTACCATGTAAAACGCTTATAAAATAACTGAGGTGAGAAAAGAGGTGAGAAAAGGGGTGAGATCTCACCTCTTCACCTAAAATATATTTTTATTGAATTCAGCAACAAATTTCATGAATTTCCTCATATGTTTGCTACCCTCGGAAAACCGAGGATAGAGATTCCATTCGAAAATCGTAAAAAATTGCGACCCGCGGAAAACCGAGGAACGCCTAAAACACATGAAAATCGTAAAAAAATGACCAAATTTCATGATATAACTGTATCTTTTATACAAAATAAAATTAAAGTTAGTTTTTTTAAAATATTTTTTTTTTATTTTGTATGTAAGAACAGGAAATGACAAACACTGAGTTTGAAACAGTTAAAAAGATAGACAATAACACCAAAGTGGTTAGAATAGGGGATTTAAACGTAAGATACTCAAAGAAATACAACAAATATTCTTTGTCAGACATTTTAACACTATCTGAAAAGAAAACATCCCACGACTGGGTTAGAAATGCTTCTACTCAGAAAATTTTGACAAGAAATCCTGAGCTTATGATATCGGTAAGATTCTATGGAACAAGAACATATCTCATCGACAAAAGTCTTATACCAATAGTTTTGTTCTGGATTGACCCAGTTGTTGGATATAATTTCATAACATATGGTTCATTCGATACTGAACGTTGCAGTGAAGGCTTACTTTATATCGTTCAGAAACCGAAGGACTTCAATACAAAGAGATATAAGATAGGAAGAACATTTAATATAACTCAAAGATATGACTCTACAGTCAATAGAGTTAAGGTTGCGTTTGTTAACGATATGAGAGCTGCTGAAACAGAACTACTTGAAAAGTTTGAGAAAATGTATGGTGCTCCCATAAAAGGTAAAGAAACGTTTGAAGTAGATGAGATAGATAAAGCTATAAAATTATTTGACGAAGTTGCTGAAAAATACATGTAAAGCGTTTATTTTTGGTCTTTTGAGTGAAATTTCTCTAGACCGACTTTTTTCGGTCTTGCATAAAACTCATGAAAATCGCAAGAATTTGGCTCCTGGTTTGAGAGGTTGGTATGTACATAGACTTTTAGTAAATGCAGTTGCAATGTGGGCTTCTCCTAAAATATATTTTTATTGAATTCAGCACAAATTTCATGAATTTCCTTAAGATAGAAAAAATAAAGTTAGTTTTATTTTTTTTTATTTTTTTATTTTGTATGTAAAGACAGATATGTCAACAACAGAGAACACAACAACAGTTATAGTCCATGAAGCTATAAATGAAGAATATGAGTACATACAGTATAACAAACAGTTACGTCTCATTCGTTCGGTCAAAGATGACATGTACCAAATGCAAAGTATTTTGACAGCATGTTTTGCTCCAGATACTAAGCTTCCTAAAGACTGGTTTAGGAACCAAAGCACTATTGAACTATTAAATGAAGCACAGCGAGACATACTTTTTTCTGAAAATCGTGAAGAACAGCGAGTGGGAGAAAAACCCCAGTCGCCAAAACTCTATGAAAATCGTGAAAAATTGCCAAACGGTTTGAGAGGATATTATGTACATAGACTTCTTGTAAATAATGTGGCACAATGGGCTTCAGCTCGCTATTCATGGTATGTTTGTAAACTTCTTGACGAAATTCATAGACAAGAACGTGAAGAGCTAGAGAACAAGCTTGAAGCAAAAGACAAAAACATACAGAAAAGAATACCACGTTCGGTACCAAAAGGAAAGGAAAAGAACTATAAGTATATGATTTATACTGAAGAGATGGAAAATGAAGAAGACAGAGATATGGTTATGTTGCATTTAGTCAGAAGAAACAACAAAAGCTTTTACGACCTTGCTAAGATTTACAAATCTGACAGAAATTGGTTCTATCGCGAAAACTTACCGATTTCAATGACACCGAATGAAGATGTTAAACAGATAGTTCAAGATACGTTACCTCAAACACACTATGATATGAAAGGTTGTACAATACTTACATTCAAAGAAGATTTACCGCTACTGAAGGAAAAAATAACAGAGTATTTTGACAACTTCAAACAAGCAGAGTAGATGAACCATTTATTTTTCAAGCTTGACACCAAAGATGGCTCAGGTAGCTCTATAAGGTCAATTGCCTTGTCAAATCCTTCTGGCATTCCGAGTCCTTCCTTCCGACAGGAAAAGTTTTTCTTTCCGACAGGAAAAGTTTTTCTTTCCAACAGGAAAAGTTTTTCTTTCCGACAGGAAAAGTTTTTCTTTCCGACAGGAAAAGTTTTTCTTTCCGACAGGAAAAATTTTTCTTTCCGACAGGAAAAATTTTTCTTTCCAACAGGAAAAATTTTTCCAGTTGTCCGTCCGTAAACCATTCAAATTTTCGAAAATTGAGAACTTTTTGGTCGACCTTCAGGAAAAATTTTTCTTTCCAACAGGAAAAATTTTTCTTTCCAACAGGAAAAATTTTTCTTTCCAACAGGAAAAGTTTTTCTTTCCGACAGGAAAAGTTTTTCTTTCCAACAGGAAAAGTCCTTCCTTCCGACAGGAAAAGTCCTTCCTTCCGACAGGAAAAAAATTTCTTGACAACAGGAAGAACTCTTTCTTCCGACAGGACACAAACGAATGTCCGACGTACCACCAACCGAGTCCATTCCAAAGCCAGAAGAACCGAAAGCTGCAGAACCACAACAGACTAAGACCAAACACTTACATTTTTCAAGCTTGACTTTTTACAATTTGAACTTTGTTTGCGTAGATATGAATTCTGAAAGAAGTATGAGGGTCTTGTATGACTTTGTACTTCTCCCATAGTTCATGTCTGTCAAACTTACCTGCCATGGACTCTTTCATAAGTTCCATGAAATCGTCTTCGGACAATCCGGGGAAAAGTACAATGTCAGTAAGTATTCTCTTTACATCCTTACTTAAACTCTTTGCTGTCTGTACACAAATGACAACTGAGATGTTAAAGTGTCTGAGCTTCTTAAGAATTCGACACATGTCTTGTTCTCTGTTCTTTAACAAAGGATGAGAGGCGAAATCATCTAAGATAAGAAGACACCTATGAGGGTATGTCTTCCAATCGTAAGATTGCAATTTCTTCGAAATGTACTCTATCTCTTTCTGTTTGTTTCTGAAGTGTTTCTTCTCTAATATTCTCTGCATTTCCTCATTTGGGTCTTTAAACTTAGAATTTATATACTCATTTATAGCATTGTACTTCAAAACTCTTCTTTGGTACTTCTTTATCCAATCTAACAACTCAGTATCTTTTATACATACTAACTTAGACTTCTTTATAATATCTTTGAACGAATTGACGGTTTGGTCAAATTGACCAGAGGTCGAACAAATAACAACTAACTCATAGAATGGGTTCTTCTCATCTAGTTCTTGTTGTTGTGCAGCCATTTTAAGATAAGTGAAAGTCTTACCCGACCCAGGTGGTGCAATTAGACCTGTTATACCATTCTGAGCAAATAAGAACTTTTCATGTATAGGCTTTATCTGAGCATTTTCTAACTTCCTCTTGTTCTTATTTAAAACATTCTCAAATTTCTTGTCAATGTCAGCAAACTTTTTTTCTAACATATTTTTAGAAAAATTAAAATTTTTATCTTTTAGAAAATGTCTAGCGATTTCGCTATCTATATTCGAGACAAGCTTTTCGACAGCAAAACATCTGTCGACCATAAAATCTTACATAGTGTAAACAAGAAAGGTGAATTTGTTCTAAAGTTCTGTTTCTGGGAATATGACAAGAACCATAAAACATTACAAAGAGCAGTCTTAAAATTTGTCAATGACAGACTTGTTGACAGAGATGACGCCTCTTGGAGAGATGAAGTCCAACAAAACTTCTTAGAATGCAAAGAAGACACATGCGCTGTTCTTGAAGATGAAATAGAAAACAGAATAGAAGAGCTATTAAAGGACAAAGAACTTTTACAGAAATATGGTTCGGAGAAATTTGACATAACTCCACCAGAAAAGAAGAAGAGAGAAAAGAAAGAAAAGAAAGTAGAAGAAGAGAAGAAAGAACCTGAGCCAGTTCCACCGAAGAAGAAATTTGACATGTAAAAATAAAATTTTATTTTTAGAACATTTCTGGGTCAATGTCAATGTTCTCTTCCTCTTTAGGAGCAAACACCGGCTTAGACTCTAAAATCTTTTTACCCAATTTACCTTGAACTTCAACTATCTTAGACTCATAATATTCATAGTCGTCTGCTTTCTTTGGTTCATAAGGTATAACAAGTTTGTATGCTTTGCCTTCTTTAAGGTTTGAGAACCTTCTGTCAAAACTTTCTTTGACTGTTAACAAACCTTCTATGTCTAAGTCTTCAAATTTCGCACCATTTTTAGTCACAATAGCAAACTTAACCGGTTCGATGTTCCAAACTTTGTCAAATGTAGACTTTTCAAAATGGTAGAAGTAAACATTCAAATATGTGAATGGGTCTAGTTCTTCTTTAAGTCCTGACATGTACTTGTTTACTGAGATGAATTTCGTCATCTTTTCTATCGGATAAAAAAATATTTTTTTAAAAATTTACTCAGAAAAATTTTTCTTTGTATATACACCATTCTGTACGTCTAAAAGACTTTTGACATTTGCCAAGAATGTTCGTTTAGACGCTGTCATATAACCATACTCTTGACAATACTGTTTATACGAATCGTACAATGACCTTTCATCTAAACACTCAAAGTCAGTTTCATCTATGAACAGTTCATATACACTCTTGTTTGCTTCTAACAATGTTTGTCTCTCTTCGGTATGTGGAATTTGTCTTGGATTGAACTTAGAAATATCTAATGTCATGAAATATGAGAACAAGTGGTTGTAAAAGTCAGATGTCAAAGTTTCTGCTAAGTCGTCAAAATATTCTGTATCTTGCATATGAGCTTCTGACGTTCTGACAACTACATATCTTCTGTCAGAACTTTCTAATTTCATCGGAACAACATTGTTTGAAACCATGACGAAGTTTGCAACATTTTCACAAACTCTTTGGTCTTTATATTTTCTTTCAACAACTCCAACTTTGTCTGTTATAAGACTCTTCAAAGCATCTGAGTTCAAAACTTTTGTTGTATCTATACTTTGAAGTTCGTTACATACTATAAGTTTCATATTCTCTATTGAAGAGTTAAATTTACCGCAGATGTTTTCTAAGTTTGTCATATTAGGGTTCGAATAGCCCTCTAACAGTTTGCATAAGATATCTGTAAAGAAAGTGTTCTTACCAGTTCCTTGTTTTCCAATTATGATGAGAGCAGTTTCATTTTTAGCACTTGGATGTTGTAAGATGTTTGCAAACCAACATAAGATATACTCATAGACTCTTTCGTTTCCATTGCATATAATTTCTTTGACATGGTCTAACCAAGCTTCTATAATATTTTCTTTCCATTCTACTTGTTCGTATTTATATCCAGTGAAGATAGAATAGAAGTTTGGAGAAGGTGTATAGAACTTTATACACGAACTGAAAAATCTTCAAGTTTTGACAATAAGATATCCAAGCATCTAACATCTTCATGCCAACTTGTACGACTTTTATTTTCTTAAGTTTCTGTTTACATTCTTGTTCTGAAACTATTGTTGCTCTTGGTTTGTTAAAGATACATCCCATTCTTTCATAACATAACATTCTGGGGCAGAGTCGACATAAAATGACTAAACGTTTCAAATTCTCGACTGCTTTGTTATAGTCTCGAAATGGACACATATTTCTGAAGCTTGGAAGTCATAAAAATCTGAAACATCTATTCTGTACATTTTTATAAAAATAAAAAAAATATTTTTTTTATTCTTGAGCTTTGTTGCATTTGTTGTTCTTGAGCTATTTGTTGTTGAAGTTGTTCTTGTAATACAATACTGTTCACCAGTTGCATCTTCCAATTCGAAACTTTCTGCCGTCATTGACAAATACATAGGACATAAAAGTTTTACAGGAACAAAGTTTGCGCGACTAAGGTTAAGTTTATGTTTGCTAAAGTTTTGAGTTTACTAAAGCTGAAAACTCTGCATTCGAATGAACAATAGGCAAACCAGCAGAGAATGTGTTGTTTATACGCATAAGTATCTTTTTGGTCATAGTAGTTTCTGTCGACATTCGAATAGCACTTTGAACCTAAGTTTGAAACAATATATAAAATAGTGTACTTAAAGTCAATGGAACAGACAAACCTTGATGACACCTTTTCCTGTTATAGGAAACTGTTGGTAGTAAAAACCAGATATAAGTTTGTATTATAGCTCATATCGTTTATAGTAAACGGTCGGACATCCAAACATAATGAAACCTGCTCTAGTTGCAGCACATGTTACATCCGTCCTTAAAGTATTAAATAAGTCAACAAAACCTGTTGGTGGTATATCTGAGTAAGTATCTTCAAAGAAGTATTTTTACCATTCACAACAACAAAGTCTTCTGGTGTCAAAAGAGCAAAACAGGCTTTAGTCGTCATTGTGTTTAAGGTTAGTTTACAATATCGTCCTTGAGGACTTTGTAAGTTTGTTGTTATAGAATTATATGACTCAGGGTTTTTAGTCGTAATAGTATAAACCACTATGTCTTCTGCCATTTACTTAGCAAACTAAATTTTAATGAAATGTTGTGGTCGTTAAATATTTTTATAACGTCTGGGAAACTATATTTTAAGTTCAACGTCTCACCTCCTTTCATAACGTATATCTTGTCAATGACATTATATGAAACACCACAGCAAGCAATGTCGGGTTTCTATTTCTTTGATGTTTATATCGTCTGCCTCTGTCAAAGTTTCAATAGTTCTTTTCAAAACTTCATGAGGTGCAATGACATATGAGTTCACTTTTACAGGGTTGTGTTCGACCAAGTTTAACATTATACCTAAAGCTTGACAAATCTTCTCCTGAGTTTTAAGTTTGTCTTTAAGTTGTGGTATCATTTCGAATATCTGCAACAGAACTTAAGTCTCTGCTAACTTCAGGATATGTTGGTTGTTCTTTTACAGGAACTATTGTTATACATCTTTCGTCTTCGTATGGTTTCCCCACTTCAACATCTCTGTCTTTGACATTGACA